CCCCGAGTGTAATTTTTTCCTTCTTAGAAAAGCCTAGATCCCCAGAGGGCAGTGGTGCACGCCTGTAATCCAGCCTCAGAAACTTAGTGAGGCCCTAAGCAACTTAGTGAGACCCTGTCTCAAAAAAAAAAAAAAAAAAGGGGGGACCTGGGGATGTGGCTCAGTGGTTAAGCACCTTGGGTTCAATCCCCAGTTCAAAAAAAGAAAAGAAAAGAAAAGCCTAGATTCTCTTGACCTAGAGGTAGAAGGCTAATCACAATGACCTGGGCTGCCCTGCAGTGTAAGGAAGCCTCATGCTAGGGGAAGGTTGGGAGGAGCAGGATATGAGGAAATGCCCAGGTCGGTGGGCTCTCAGAGGTATCCAGAAATGAGTTTACCTGCTTGTTGGACTGTCTGTCTCCCCCACTGAGAACATAAGTTCCTAGAGCAGGGGCCAACAAACTTTCTTTTCTAAAGAGCCAACTAGTAAATATTTTAGGCTTTGCAGGCCATATGGTCTGTGTTGCAGCTACTCAACTCTGCTGTTGTGGTGAGAAAGAAGCATAGACCATACGTAAACGGAGCGTGGCTGTGTTCCAATAAAACTTTATTTATGGATCCTGAAATTCAATTCTATACAATTTTCACATGTCATGAAATATTCTTCTTTTGATTTTTGAAATTATTTGAAAATTGTAAAAGCATTCTTGTTTTGCAAGCATATAAAAGCAGTAGGCCAGCTTTGGCCTGTGGACTGGGTTCTGCCTGCCTCTACCCTGGAGAGCAGAAACCCTCTTGTCTGCTCCTTGGGTATATCCTTGGTGCCTAGGACAGTGCCCAGCATGTGACTAGTGCCCAGTACTTGTTGATGACCACCTGCTATATTTTCTACCCCTTCTAACTCCAATTCTAATTCCATCTCTTCTTGCTATGGGGTTCTCTCTCCTGTCACCTCCTCTCCTCTCTAACTGGCAGCAGCAAAATTCTGCCTCACCCATCTCCAGGTCAATGTCAATGACACTTCCCCCTGCAGAAGCCCACTGGCCAATTCTACCACCTACTCTCCTCCACCCACTGCAGCCCTGGGACATTCTGCGTACAGGTTTCTGTTCCTCCTCTTCCTCTCTCATCCTTTCTTTGACCTCATTCTTTACCAGCTCTGTGATCACGGTCATGAGAGTTTCTCCAAGCCACAGCCTCTTCTCTTCATCCCACATCAACGGAGAATTTGCCCAGTGAACCCGACCTCAGGTTCCTGTTCTTTCCCTCATTTGCAGGGGGAAAAATATGGAGGGAAGGAAGAGCCTTTGATTGCTACCTACCATTCACAGTGAGCATGTATCATGTGACAGGCACAGCACAGCTATTTTATTGCCTGATCTCACGTAATACTCATAACCACCCCTAGTTAACAGATGCAGAAACTGAGGCTCAGAGCTAAGAGGTGGCAGAGCAGGGATTAGAGCTCAGATTTGTGCAGTTCCATCCACAAGGAAATCTTTTCTCTTTTTAAAAATATTTTCAATTGTAGATGGACACAATACCTTTATTTTGTTTATTTTTATGTGGTGCTAAGGATGGAACCCAGTACCTCATATACCCAAGGCAAACGCTCCACCACTGAGCTATAACCCCGGTCCCACAAGGAGATCTTGACCTGCTGCGATGTGTCAGGTGCTCCAGGCAGACAGCAGTAAACCAAGTAGACAGGTCCTGCTTTGTGCAGCTTTGTAAATCCTGTAGGGAATCCAACAGGTGAATATGTGAGATGGTTGCTGGATGACAGGCAGGCCATGGGTAGGAAAAAAACACCCCGGGAGATGGTGTCCATGGAGAGCTTCTGTAGAGATAGTCAAGAATGTTCTTCCTGAAGAGGTGACATTGGAGCAGAGGTATGAATGAAGTGAGGGGGTGAACTCTGAGAGCTGGAGAAAGAATGTTCCAGGTGGGGGGCACTGCAGGAGCAAAGCCTGGGTTGGGGGCTTATGGGACATGTGCAGTGAGCAGCAAGTGCGCCTGGTGGCAGGACAGAGAGGACAAGGTTGAGGTGGGAGAGGATGTGCAGAGGGAGCAGGGGCCAGTCCTGGGGGGCTTTGCAGCCATGGCAAAGGCTTCGGGTTTTATTAGTAGTGTGATAGGGAAGCTGCAGGAGGGTTGCCCCATCCCTCAGACCTAGCCGTCACCCTGTCACTGTGTCCCACTGTGAACACTGAGTACCTCTGATCCCCTTCTGGAATTAGTGTGGTAAAGTGGTAAGAACACTGACTTCGAGGTCTGAGAACTGGGTTCTCACTGCAATACTTACCTGCTGTCTGATCCGACCACAGGCAATCCCCTTCCTCTCTGAGCCTCAGTTTTTTCATCTGAAAAGTGGTAACAGTAATTTCTGTCTCATGGCCTTGTTGAGGTGATTTGATGAGCTCTTGCCCATGATACTCAGCTTCAGGCAGGCCACACAGTTCTCTCAGCCCTCATGGTACTGATGATTATCACTTAAATGAGTATTTAAATACTCAGCCCGGTTCTGGCATATTGTAATCTTTTTTCTTTTTTTGCACTAGGGATTGAACCCAGGGATGCTTAACCACCACTGAATCACATCCCCAGCCCTTTTTACTTTTTATTTAGAGACAGGGTCTCGCTAAGTTGCTTAGGGCCTGGCGCCAAGTTGCTGAGGCTAGCTTTGAACTCATGATCCTTCTGCCTCAGCCAGCCTCCCTCCTGAGCTGCTGGGATTACAGGTATGCACTACCATGCCCGGCCATAGTATAATCACTTTTTAAAGGTAACTACCACTGTGATTATTCACCTTACCATGTCCCACCTGCTGCTAGGAGACATGTAGGGTCCCAAGACCCTCTTCTACTGAGAGGCCAAGAAAGAATAGTAATGACAGACTGGATGCCTGGGGTGGAGCCCATTCAGACCCTGTGCTCTTGAACTCTACTGCATATATGCCCAGGCTGCAGCACAGGGACCCAGACTTGGCCCTCTGCCCCTGCTCCCTGCTCCTCACCTCTTCAACAGGTATAGATAATACACTCACTGTCCAGCAAGTCCTTTCATACTCATGAGTCACCATTTAACAAACACTTCAAGTAACCACCCAGAACAGCCTGTTCTAACCCCCAGTACTATCCCTATTATTAATATCCAGCACTCAGAGTGGAGCACCCCAGAACATGGGGTTAGAGCGCCTGGGTCAAACAGCTTCACTGTTTCTCAGCTGGGTGATGCTGGACATATCACTTAGCTTAGCGCTCTCTGTCTCTCTCTCTCTCTCTCTCTCTCTCTCTCTCTCTCTCTGTGTGTGTGTGTGTGTGTGTGTTTTGCTGGGGATGGAAACCAGGGCCTTGTCCATGCTAAGCATGCATTCACCCACTGAGCTACACCCTTATCCCCAATTCTATCTTATTCTCTTTGAGCACCTATGTGCTGGCAAGACAATGAGGAGCCAGGAAGTACTACCCTCTCAGAGCTCAGTCTAATAGAAAAGCCAGATGTTAATCAAGGAATCACATAAAAGCATGTAAAAGCACAACTACCAGAAGCATCGTGGAGAAGTATTTATTGCTTTGGGTCTGTGTAACAGGGGGGTGAGGGAAGATATCCTGTAGGAAGTAACTGTGGAGGAGAGGAGTATCATGTGCAAAGGGCCTGTGGCTGGAGAATAAAAGGAAAGTCAGTGTGGCTGAAGCCTAGAGATCTGGGTCGTGTGATCTCAGCCGAGCCGAGCTAAAGCAGTGGCAGCACTTTGAAGGCTATGACTTTCTCTTTGTAGCTTTCTGCTGACTTGCCCAGGTGCCTCAGATATAGCCCTCTAGTATATGGGCTCCTCTATGACCCACTTTCTCTCCAACATCCTTGGAGAGAGGGGACTTAGGAGGTGAAATGTGAAATTCATAAAGTTGAAAGCACAATCAACTACTCAGTCCCTAAGTGAGATGAAGTGTTTGACAGGGAGATTTCTATGAGAGGGGGAAGGAAGAGGGTCAGGGCCCTAGGAGTGAAGGCAGGTCCACTCCAGCTTTCCCCAAAGCCTCCTGTACTGCTGCCCATTCAGCTGGCCTCCCTCACCAGCCCGCTGCCCTCATTCTCTGGGTCTCCATGTCTCCTCCTCTGTAAGTATCACTTAAATAAGGCTGGCTGCAAGATGGACATTTGGCACGTGTGTGCAATCTCCTTGAAGCCCTGAGTAGGATTACCAGACTAAACAAAACACAGGACCAGCTGGGTGTGATGGTGCACTCCTGTATCCCAGCTCCTTGGGAAGCTGAGGCAGGATTAAAAGTTTGAGGCCAACAGGAGCAACTCAGCAAAACTCTGTCTCAAAATAAAAAGAGCTGGGGGTGTAGCTCAGTGGTAGAGTGCTTGTTAGAATGTGTTAAGGCCCTGGGTTCATCCCTAGTACTGTGAAAAACAAACAAGCCCCCAACCAGGATATCCAATTAAATTTGGGTATTCACAAAAACAACCGATAATTATGTAGTCAAAGTATGTCCAAGTAGTACAATTGGAGGCCTGAGCAGCAGGGGTCAGAGCACCACAAACTGTCACCAGGCAACTGAAGTGCTGTCTGTAACTGATGGTCATGTACAGGTCCAGGATGCCTTCAGTTTAGACCTCACTTTTCCTAACTGGCAGATGGAGCCAGACTCTGGTAGTCTTTTAGCTCTTGCCTTTTCTAGCTGTGTGACCTTGGCAGGACCCCGAGAATGAAAGGCTTACCTTCTCTGTCCTCATTGTCCTCATCTGTACACCAGCTTCCTAATGTTGTTACAAGGATTGTATTATACAGGAAAAGAGCTTAGAACAGTGCCTGATACACAGTCAGTGCTATGTTAGAGTTGGCTATATGGCTGTAATTAGAATGAAGGCAAACTCCATGTGAGCAAGGACCATGTATTTATTAATTTGTTCATTTATTTGGTCCAGGGGCACTTAACCACTGAGCCACATCCCAGTTTTTTTTTTTTTTGTTTTTTTTTTTAATTTGTTATTTTGAGTCTTGGTAAGTTACTAAGGCTGGACTTGAACTTGTGATCCTCCTGCCTCAGCCTCTCAACTTGTTGGTATTACAGGCATGGGACACCACACCTGGCTAAGGACCTTGTTTTATTCATTGCTATATCCTCAGCATCTAGAAGAAGGCCTGGTTTATAAGAGGAGGACTTGATGTGTAATTAATAGCCATAAATAATTTGTTGAATTAAAAGGAATTTAGTTCTTACTGTATACCTGAGACACTGGGATCATTAATTCCTATTTCACACAGGAGAAAACTGAGTTCACAGACACAAAATGAGTTTCCCAATCTTTTTTTAAAATTTTAATTAATTAATTAATTAATTTTTGTATTACAATTCTTAATACACTATTATTTATCATATCTCTGATTATATATAAGGTATGTTGACACCAAATTCACATCTTCATACGACTTTCCCAATCTTGAGGGGGCAGAGCCAGGGTTCAAATCTGGATTCATTGGGTTCTAAAGTCCTTTCCACTCAAAATTCACATTAGGTCCGTTCAACAGTGCAGGGGTGGGGGTGGGGGGGGTCCTATCCTGGGGACAAGGAATAAGAGCATATGGATTGGGGAGAAATCATTATCCACTTTGATTTTTTAAAATTTATTTTTATTTTCATTCATTTATATTTTTTAGTGGTGCTGGAGATTGAACCCAGGACCTCATGCATGCCGGGCAGCACTCAACCACTGAGCTACAGCCCTAGCACCACTTTGATTTTTCTTTTTTTTTTGGGGGGGGGGGAGGGTGGTGCTGGGGATTAAACCCAGGCCTTGTACATGCAAGGCAAGCACTCTACCAACTGAGCTATATCCCCAGCCTCCACTTTGATTTTTTTAATCCCTAGTGTGCTCTTGACCTGCTGGTAAGTGGCTTCATCCTTCTGAGCCTCTGGCTTAGTTTCATGATTTGCAAACCATATGGTGGTAGGCCAGGTAGGTGGCATATGCCTATAATCCCAGTGACTCAGGAGTCTGAGGCAGGAGGATTGCAAGTTTAAGTTTGAGGCCAGCCTCTCCAACTTGGTGAGACCCTATCTCAAAATAAAAATAAAAAGGGTTGGGTGTATACCTCAGGGTTTTAAGAGCCTCTGAGTTCAATCCCAGTACAAAACAACAACAACAAACACCCAAAAAACTAGATGGTGGTGAGGATTCAAGGAAATCACACGTGGAGTGAAGCTCAATGGTAGAACTTGCTTCCCATGCCTAGAACCAGAGCAAAAAAAAAAAAAAAAAAAAAAAACAGGATATCACCTGTTGGTGGAACCTCGCCTTTTTGTTGTTTTGGTGCTGGAAGGAGCCCTAGGGCACTGCTAGGCAAGCTCTCCACCACTGAGCTATACCCTAGGCCCACAGGAGGCTGTTGATAAACATTCCCTTCCCTCCCCCCTGCCTTGGAGCAGCTTTGCACACAACTGACCAAAAGTCTATGCCTGTGAAACCCGCAAACCCATTCTTCTGCTCCCTCACATGTGAATAAGTCAGGTCACACCTGGACCCCAAGACCTTTTTATGTGGAGGCTGAATCTCTCCAGGGCGATTCCTGGTCGTATACTCCAAGTCCCAGCAAGCACCGACTGATCCTGGAAGGCTGGACCCTGGACCCTGCTTTCCTCCCAGAGCAGGAGGCTCAGACCAGCCTGAGCAGGGTCTGCAGCTGAAGAGATGTCAGACCTGGGTTGAAAGGAGCTCCCTCAAGTGACAGGGCACAACACTTTGCAAAAAATGCACATTAAGAAATCACCCGGAGGGTGCTCTGAGTCTTGACAGAAGAGGAAGAGCCTACCTGAGGCTGGGGCACGGAGCTCACCTGGAGATCCCAGTGCGGGCTTCCGTGTTGGGCAGGAACTTGTAGAGGGGATGGGGACTGTAGAGGGCTTGGTGGGGTGTGGGCCTAAGAAGGGCAGGGTCCAGGCTCCTTTCAAGTCTCCGCCTGGATCAGACTCAGGACACCCTGTGAATGTAGGTGGGTGGGGACATGGGCTTCCTCCTTGTTGGAGGAAGGAACATCTGGGTTGGGATTCCCAACGAGCTGAGTGCAGGAGAGCGGTGGCACCAGAGGGGTCTGCGCAGGGGACAAGCCAGGGGAGGGAAGAACCAGCAGGGCCTCTCGTGGGCGGAGCCGAGTGAGGGCCAGGGGCTCGAGGTGGAGGCGGGGCCCGGCTCCGAGGGGCGGGGGCGGGGGTCCGCTCCGGGAATGCCGCGCCGCGGGGGCTAGGGCGGGGCTTCATCAGCCCCGCCCCCACGCAGGTAGCCAATGGGCGCGGCGGCGCCGGGTGACGGAGGGAGCCGAAGTGCGAGTGCCGCGGCAGCGGCGGACGGCCCAGCCAGAGCGAGGGGCTCGGGGGCGCGCGGGGCTCGGGGCGCTGAGCTAGGGAACCCGGGGCCCGGAGGAAGCGCAGCCGGGGTCGCCGGAGGAGCGCGGGCGGCCCGGCGGCGGCGCAATGCCGCTCGCCCAGCTCAAGGAGCCCTGGCCGCTCATGGAGCTGGTGCCGCTGGACCCGGAGGTGAGTGAGCGGGGCGGGGGACGGGCGCCGGCGGCCGGCGAGCCCGGATCCGCACAGGGGCGGGGCGGCTCGCGGCGCCGCTGCAGCCCGGCGGACGCCCGCGAGGGCGCGAGTGCCCTCCGATCTCTTGCCCACTATCGGGCTCCACCCCCGTGTGCCCCGGGTGTGCGTGTGCAGAGGACAGTTCTGCCGAACGCTGAGTAGCTCCCTTCCTTAGCCAGGAGAGCTGATCCCTTGGGGCACTGAGATCTGGTCCCCTTCACCCCACACTCCTAGGACCCGGCATCTTTTGGGAGCTGTCGCGCTCTCTCCATTAGTGCAAATGGGCAGGGCTTGGGTCAGATGTCTTTGATTCTAATAGAGACAAGGATCATGGGACCCCCACTTATCCCTGTGCCCTCTCACAAGAGCTCCCCTTGTTTCTCTGCTGCTGATTCTAGAAGGGTTGTCCCTCTGGACCCCCGGCAGTTGTGGAATGTGGGATGACAGTACCCCTCTGGGACTGGGATTCCTGTTTCCTTGTGCCCTGAGGCCACAGCCAGAGGACACCTGTGTCACTCACCCCAGAATGTGGAGAAGGGAGGGGAAGGCCCTTAGACCTTTGAAGATTATTCCTGGAGGGGGAAGACCTTGTGTCTGCCTCCTTCCCTGTGGAAGGGTTGAGCCCTTGGGGAGTGAGGCTTCTGCCACCCAGTCTCTACTAGTGGCAGTTCCTGTCCTCTGAGGGAGGGGTAAGGGTGCTTAGGGCCAGGTCCTAAGCATTCAGAAGGCCAGTTTTTCCTTTACTTTGTGACCCCAGGATCAAGGTCAAGCCTGGAACCATCAAGCTGAAAACTTTCCCTCATGCTAGGCAGGAGGCAGGTGATACTCCAAGTTTAGGGGAGCCATTGGGGGTATGCAAAGAGGATTGGATACCTCAATTGACCCAGGATCCTGATTTGAGCCCCTGGTGCTTGCATCTGTCCCCTCCTCTATTCTCCCACCTGGGGCAGCCACAGTGTGTCCTGCCTCTCAGAACCACAGATGAAGATCAGGGTAAGGACCCCAAGTCCCCAGCACCCAGAGTGTGCTGCCCCTTTAAAGGGATGGCCAACACAGGCTATTGGAGGGTGGGCGAGGCAGGATTAGGTAACCAACCTGAAGGCGCAATTTGGAGTAAATTGCTCTGGGATCCCTGCCATGGGGTTTTTACAGGCCCTACAAGGCTGCTCAGAGGTTCTCTCGCTGACTCACCCTCCAAGGTGAGGAACACTGCCCTCTGCGGCCCCTCTTCTCCCTACCACACGCACAGTAGGACTGTGGCACAAGGGCCTTGGGGGGTGCTCAAAGGCAGGTTCCTTTGCCCAGGCAGGCCCCTGCAACCTGGGCCTGGAGAGAATGTAGAGCTGAGCGGGAAGGGCTAGGGAAGAACTTCACCCTGCAACTTCCCTTGGGTTCTCCTAGCAGGGAAGGTACAACCCGGGATTCTTGGTCCAGGAAATCACTTCCTGCTTCTCTTTGGAAAATCCTGAGGCAAGGACTAGCTTCACCAGGGGGCCCAGTATAATCCAGAAACTCCTCTAAGTTTGAGTACTACTCTACCTGAATTCTGTGAGAGAAGACTGGTGAATTCCTGAGAATGGGGGGGATGCTTTCTCCAAGAGTGTCACCCTGGAAATGCTGTGTGACCCTCAGTCAGTCCTCAGCTTGTCTGGACCTCTGTTTCTGCAGTGGCAAGAGCTGGGTTCAAGCTCTGTTCTCTGGGCCTGAGAGGGTGCAGACAGAGCTCTGCGCACTGCCGCCTGTCTCCCTCCCCCGGTTCATGGGGGTGCCAGGCGACTGGGTGTTATTGTTTGAGTAACAGGAGCCACGGGGCAGCCAGGGTGCCGGTTCCTCTGTTCTGACTGGAGAACAGGGCTTCGCTGTTCTCTTAGCCCAGGTGACATGTAAGCGATACAGTGGCCTGACCTGCAGGTACAGGCGCCATTGCTGGTGGCTCCTGGCCAGGAAAGAGGCAGGTGAGGGGCTGGTGGGGCCATTTGGCAGAGGCCTGGGATCTGGACTGTCCCACCCTCCCTGTGATACTACCGAAAATGAGGTACTGGGAGGCAGGGCCTGGCCGAGGGTCCGGCCCAGGCGGAGAAAACTCATTGAAAGTGTAGTTGAGGAGTCCTCCTGGGCTTTCCCTGGCCCTCCTGAAAGTAGTAGCCTTGTCCCCAGGCCTGGTTCTGCTACCTACAAAGCTTTACTATCTGCCACCCACCCTGCTTTACCTGTGTCACCTTATTTTAATTCTCACAATAATTTCTTAAGTTGGGGAATTCACCCCATTTTCAGATGGGACAACGGGACTTGGACAGCAGAACTGGCACATGAATTAATGTCAGGGCCAGAATTGGAACCCAGATTTCCTGCTGTCTTTCGCCAAGTTGGGGGAGTCAAGGATGGGGATGGGCTGGGTTCAAACCAACCCAGGTGGACAGTATTCCAAGAGTGCCTCCGGATGTTGGCAGACTGTCCTCCTCCGCAGGGCCCTTGTCCAGCCTTTGCTGAGGGCTGGCAGTGCCCTGGCACCTGGCCCCCAGCCTCCGGCCATTCAGAGGGCTGCCAGTGCTGGGCTCAGAACCCAGCTCCTGGGGCTGCTTCCTGACTCTGGGGCACGTGCTGCTGTCTTTCTCCATCTGTTGCCCGGCTTCTCTTGACATTGCCCTGAGTCCCTCTCCCCTAGACAGAGCTGCTTGGGTGGGAAGGAGGAATGTCTGTTGGAAGCCATCTCTGATCTCTTGAAAGGGTTGAGGGGGTGCAGTGGTCTGGGGGTCCTGGGCAGCTGTCCTCATGAGTGCTCTCTGAAGAAAAGGGAGGAGAGTGAATTTCCAGCCTCTAAGAGGCCCAATGGCCTTCCCTGTACTAGGCTTTTTTAGACAGTGTCCTACACTCAGGGTCAACATCATTGTCCCCATTCACTTATTCATTCAGCACTTAGGTGACAAGTACTGTTACCATTCGAAGTAATAGAGGGCAGCTGTCAATACAACAGACCTGCCCTCATGGTACAGAGGAGGAACAGAGGATCTGAAAAGTGATGTAACAGACCCAAGGTCAGAGTAAGTGGCTGGTAGTTCCAAAATGAGTGGCCAAGTCTTGATGGCTGCACAGTTGTGTTCTTCCCACCATCCCAAGTGGCAATCAGGCCAGAAGGACAGGTGGCCCTGGCCTTCTAGGACCCAGGCTCTCCTGCGGTCCTCTCAGTACCACTCAGTCCTTTCTCTAGAGCTGCCATCTCCCCTCTAGAGACCTGTGTATCAGCTCTTTGAGGCTTGGAGTCCCATGAAGATGGCAGCCAGGCCAGAGACCAAGCCAGATGGCCTGGAGGAGGGTCCCCTGAATCATCCAGGCCAAATGCTTAAGAAATCTACAAATTCTGTTATACCTACATCCTTTTCCCATCCCTTGTTGTCAGGAATCTCACCTTGCAGCTACATGACTTTGGGTTATGGTCCCATGGCTGCTGCCTTGTAGCTGAGGGACCTCAGGTAAGTCCCTTAACTCTAAATTTGATCTGAAAAATGGGAGTAATGCAACCTGCTCTGGCCTATTTGCTCTTGTTGCTGAGTTGACTTTTCATTTGACAAACTACATGCTGGACCCTGGCTAGGTACGAAGGAGCTGACGATGGAGAGGCCATGATCACTTTGTGAGTTAACCTGCAGTGTGCTCAGTGCATAGAGGAGCGAGGGAAGAACTTGAGACTGTGTGGTCAGAGGAGGTGGCACCAGAATTTAGTCCTGAAGCTGGGTGGTGGTGCACACATCTGTATTCCCAGTGACTCAGGAGGCTGAGGCAGCCTCAGTAACAAATAAATAGGGATGGGGATGTAGCTCAATGGTACAGCACTCCTTTCAATTCCCTGTACCATTAAAAAAAAAAAAAAAATCAGTCCTGGAAGAAGCCCAGGAGTTTGCCAAAGTGAGAAGGCAGAAAGGGTTTTCTTTATAGAGTGAGCCACTATACAAATGCTTGGGGGTGTAAAACACAGTTTTGCTAAAAATTAGGACCCAATAATAACAATTGCTTGTTTGTAGACCAATTACGTGCTAGTGTATATATTTATAGGCATTATTTCATTTATTTCTAGCATCCACCTGATGAAATACGTTACTTTTATCTGTATTTCACAGATGAGGAAACAAGCCCTAAGAAATGCAGTGACCATCTTACCTTCTTAGGCTCTAGCAGATGGTAGAACCAGGATTTGAATCCACAAGGTCGGGTTCTAGAACCACTCCCCCACACACCTTTTTTTTGTGTGTGTGTGAAGTGGGGATTGAACCCAGGGCCTTGTGCATGTGAGGCAAGCACTCTACCAACCGAGCTATATCCCCAGCCCCCACAATATCTTTATTTTATTTATTTATTTTCATGTGGTGCTGAGGCTCGAACCCAGTGCCTCACATGTGCTAGGCAAGTGCTCTACCACTGAGCCACGGCCCTAGCCGCCCCCCCACCCCCTTTTTCTGTTGTTTTTACTGCAGATTGAACCTGTGGATGCTTTGCCACTGAACTATATCCCCAGATATTTTTATTTATTTTTTATTTTGACACAGAGCCTCACTAA